GATTGCAGTTTCAGTCGCTGACGCAATGATGGAGGGTTGCTCTTCAAGTTTCTTGAGATACGAGTCAAAGAGCTCATCTAAGATTTCTTCTCCAAATTGCTGCTTGATGACTTCCTCAGAGGCAGCTCTCGCGTGAGATACAAAGAGTTGGATTGGAGAGACAGTGGGAGGAATCGGAATGTGAGGTACTGTTTCCAACGTCTTTAAACTAAAATATTCATTTCTTTCTACAGCAGCTTCCAGTTCTTGGGGAGTCATGTAATACACAGGAAAGTTAAATGTATCTACTTTATCTTCACTTACTACTCCCTGCGCAAAGGAAAAACACATGGAAGCCATAAATAAAATTTCTTGTGTAATTAAACGCAAAACGAGAAATAGAAATACCATTGCTCACCTTCCTAGCCATGTCCATGAGGCAAGACCCTATAAGTTGAAAGCTCACATTTCCCACAGAGTCAGAATGAGGAACAGTATTGGGCCGGCCTGGAATGACGAGTACCATGATTCCTCCATCTGCAATCTCTTGTGCCCTGGCATTCAGAAAGCACTCCATGTCCTCAGCATGTTGAGCTTCGTAAGCCCTTACGACTTCATCAGGGGAGTTTGAGTAATGAATTCGTCCTTTGTTCCATGCTGGACTGTTTTTGTCCACCACCTCTTTTGGTACTCTAGAAAGCCAATGAAGGGCTAAAGTTGAATGAAAAAAATGAATAGACGTACTAGGAAATAGACGACCATAGAAAGAACCCGGCACGCCCGCAGCGTAGTATCGCCTGGTCTGCGGGAGGGATTTGAAGAGCCTGTTAAAATCATTCAGAGTATGATCATTAAAGAAGACCTGAAATTCAGGGATCTGCAAATTCAGCCCTTGGCTCTGAAACTTGAATTCCACAGCTTCGATTATGTTTTCAACTGAGATAAATGTGTTTGGCCCGACAGAGCAACCCAAATCAGCAATGTAAAAGGTGTTAGAAGATAACAAGTCGAGCTTTTCTGCAACTGCCTTGCTTAAAAATTCTTTGGCACCATCCACCGCTCCTTTCTGCAAGGATTTACAAAATACAAAATCATTGTTCGAGTTACCGGTTGTGCCTTAGTTCGTCCGGAATTTCGTATACAAAGAGATCAAGGACTTCAATAAAAGTGAGCACTACAAAATAAGAGACTTTGAAATGAATACATATAAACCTGAAAAGTTGAGTTGTTGGCATAGCTGTTGGGGCCATCTCCCCCTTTCATTGGATACTCTTCGGAGAACTTACTTGTTTCCTCGACTGCAGCCATCTCTCTCTTTCTCTATGTTTCGCTGTTGTGTATGTCATGTATTGTATCATGGGGGGTCATTATTCTTATATCTGCATTTCGGCCGTTCCTACTCTGCTACTTGACGCTATGAAAAGACAAAGTAAAACAATTAAAATTTAGGAAACGTGAAAAGTCATAATAATCACAGAATGGGATTATAATATTCTATTCATATTCAACAACTAGGTTTACAGCTTTATACAACCATTCGGTCAATGAGATCCTAAACTATTGCCTACAAGCAAGGCTTGATCATAAACTAAATAGGAAAGGAAATAACTACAATATCAATTTACAATGTTGACTAAGTAATAGAGATATTTTCCTTAACACTCCTCCTCAAGTTGGAGTGTATGTTAATGACACCCAACTTGCCAAGTAGAACTTCGAACTGTGTTGAACTCAACGGCTTAGTGAAGATATCAGCTGGTTGATCATTGGTCCGTATGTAAGCCGTGCGTATCATTCCTTCTTGAACCTTCTCTCGTACTAGATGACAATCGATTTCTATGTGCTTCGTTCGTTCATGAAAAACAGGATTTGAAACAATGTGTAATGCTGCTTGATTGTCACAAAACAACTTGACTGGCTGAGAATGGTTCACTCTTAGGTCCTTCAAAATATTCTTCAGCCATATGATTTCACAACATGTGGTGGCCATGGAACGGTATTCAGCCTCTGCACTCGAACGAGATATTGTTGTTTGTTTCTTAGTTTTCCAAGAAATAGGTGCGTGACCGAGCAAACAGTACCCCGTTATCGACCTTCTAGTATCTTGACATCTAGCCCAATCAGCATCACAAAATGCTTGTAATTGCAATGAGCCTGTGGAAGGAAGAAAAATCCCTTGTCCAGGTGCTTGTTTAATGTACTTGAGGACCTTGTGCGCAGCATCAAGGTGTGGTTGCCGAGGTTTCTCCATGAACTGACTTAGCATGTGAACAGCATAAGCCAAGTCAGGCCTTGTTATGGTCAAGTATATTAACCTCCCCACAAGTCGTCTATACGATGAAGGATCATTCAGCTCATTTCCTTCCATTTGTGTGTATGACAAATTTTGATCCACAGGGAACCGAGAAGGCTTAACGCCTAGAAACCCAGCATCTTCCAATATTTCGATAGCATATTTACATTGACATATAGTAATTCCATGCTTTGATCGTGCAACTTCTATTCCTAAGAAATATTTGAGTTGCCCCAAGTCTTTCAGTTTGAAACGCTGAGAGAGGAACTGCTTGGTTTCTTCAATTTCATGCAGATTATTCCCTGATAATATCACATCATCAACATATACTAGTAAAGCAATGAAGTTACCATGACGACTTCGGACGAATAGTGAATAGTCGGACCGTGATTGATGAAATCCAGCAGTCTTCAGAGCATGAGATAACTTAATGAACCATTGCCTTGAAGCTTGCTTTAAACCGTAGAGGGATTTATTCAACTTGCATACTCAAGTCTCCCCCTTTCGTCCGAAACCAGGAGGCAAGGTCATGTAGACATCCTCGTCAAGATCACCATTTAAGAAAGCATTGTTGACATCCAGCTAATGAAGATGCCAACCTTGCACAGCGGCGACACTGAGGAGCACACGAACTGTGGTTAACTTGGCGACAGGAGCAAAGGTTTCTCGATAATCAACACCTTCAATTTGACCGTAACCTTTGGCAACGAGGCGGGCTTTGTACCGGTCAATGGTGCCATCAGGTTTGAGTTTGATCTTGTAAACCCATTTACAACCAATGGGACGTTTGTGCAGCGGCAAAGTCACGAGGGTCCAGGTATGATTGGCTTGAAGGGCAGCAATTTCATGTTGCATGGCATCACGCCAGTGTGGATCATGGATAGCCTGTGAAAAACTGGTAGGTTCTCTGAGGAGGGAAAGATTAGTGGTATATGCTTTATGGTGAGAAGAGAGTCGATCGTAGGACAAATAAGTGGAGAGAGGGTGAGAAGTACCTGATGAGGAAAGAGCCACGTTCGTAAAAGATGTGGGAGCAGGCCTGGACAGGAGATCAACCTCGACATGAAAGTCCTGCAAAAAAGAAGAGGGTTTGGTGGGGCGTGTGCTACGTCGTGGTGGAGTGGGTGGGGCTGGGGAGGGAGAGGGTAGGATTATGGTGTCTGGAGATGGTGCATGTGGTGGTGTAGAAGGTGGGGAAGGAGAAGAAGGTGTGTGGGGGGGGTGAAGGCGCGGATGACGGGGAAAGAGGCGCGGATAGTGTGTGGGAGGTGGAGAGGTCAGTGGAGAGGGTGGGTAGTAGTGGTCGCGGGACAGGGAAGGGATCTGCAACAAGGGGAGATAAGGAGTGGTTTGGGATGGTGGACTGTGGTTGAGCAGCGGAAGTGTCAGAATGATAAGGGAAATGGTTTTCGAAAAAGAGCACGTCCCGTGAGACAAAAATTTTGTTAAGATGAAAATCGAAAAGTCGATAACCCTTTTGGCCATATGGGTACCCAAGAAAAACACAACGACGAGCACGGGGATCAAATTTGGAAGGTTTATATGCGTGAGTGGAAGCAAAACACAAGCAACCAAAAACACGTAAGTGGAAGTAACTGGGTGCTGTTTAGAACAACATTTCATAAGGTGTCTTCCCTTGGAGAAGAGGTGTGGGTGTGCGGTTGATGAGATAGGCTGAAGTGAGTATGGCGTCCCCCCAAAAACGTTTTGGCATGTTGGCTTGAAAGAGTAAAGCTCGGGCAACATTTAATAAATGTCGATGCTTACATTCAGCAACACCATTTTGCTGGGGTGTGTGCACGCAGCTGGTTTGATGGACAATACATTTCGTTGCATAAAAACTATCAAGCTTAAACTCGGGACCATTATCACTACAAATGATTTTGACTTTGGTATTAAATTGGGTTTCGACCAAATGAACAAATTGCACAAGAAGCTGCTGTGTGTCAGATTTATATTTCATTAGGTAAATCCAGGTGCTCCGAGTGTAATCATCAACGATAATGAGAAAATATTTTGCACCAGAAATAGAGGGAACGTGATACCCCCCCCCCCCCCAAATATCAACATGTATCAATTCAAAACAAGATTTAGTGGATATGGAACTCAGGGAAAATGGTGCTCTTGTTTGCTTGGCTAAAGGACAAATGACACACTTATTTGAATCACAAAAACTTGGTTTTAAAAAAGGAAATGACATGGAAACAGTTTTGGATGGATGGTCGAGGCGTTGATGTTAAAGATGATGGTTGGTTGTGCTAATGGTGTTGCATGTTCCTTTCTTTGATGGGTCGAGATAGTAGAGGCCCCCCCATTCAATTCCCGTCCCAATCATCTTCCCCGAGCGTAAGTCTTGTATGACACAAAACTGTTTTAGGAAGATGGTAATATAAAGGGAATCATATGCGAGTTTGCTAATGGATATCAGATTTAAGGTAAAGAATGGGACACACAAAACATTATCAAGCACAAGTGTGGGAGAGAATACCACTTGTCCAATGTGAGTGACCGTGGCAAGGGAACCATTGGGGAGTTCAACAGTGTGATTTGTAACTGGCCTCGATGATGTGAGATAATGAGGACTGCAAACAACGTGGTTCGTTGCACCACTATCCAAGATCTAAACATTTTTAATGCCATTCTGCATGAAGGAAAATGTTTTACCTGAGAGTTCTTCATTAGTCGAAGAGTTACCCACGTGATTTGCAAATGAGGAACGATTTTTGTTTTAACATGGCAAGGATCTGCTTACAATCTTCTTGGGAAAAGGGAAAGCTTGGCATCCCATCTCTCTTGTCATGCACGGCAACTTGATTTCCCTTGGAAGTTGATGAACGGCTTTGTTCAGTTTCAGCAGCTGCTTTGCATTTGCGGCAATATTCGAAGGTATGACCCTTCCAACCACAGAAAGTGCATTGAGATGGGCACGACAATTTTTGGTGCTATGGTTCGTCTTGTTACATTTGCCACAGCGAGGACCACCATCCTCGGTTTCAAGCTCGCGTCCACCATGCTTTACAGCAAAAGCTGCTGCTTCAGGTTGAGGGGTATTCTTTCCATTTGAAACTTCCGCCTGCTTCTCATGGCGAAGAACAAGAGAGTAAGCTTTGTTCACTGTGGGAAAAGGCTCAAGAAGAAGGATATTACTACGGTCAGTGGAAAAGGAATCACTTAAACCCATGAGAAATTTCATTGTTTTCTGGGTCTCAACATAAGAGATGATTTCCTTCTTTGTATCGCAGCTACATGCAGGAATAGAACACAGTACATCACGCTCGTCCCACAAGCCTTTTAGTTTGGTAAAGTATGAACTCACCGGCATGTTACCTTGCACACAATCATGGATCTCGTTTTCTACATGAAACAATTGAACGATATTTGCATGAGAAAACCGTTCTTGTAAATCAAGCCACATCTGCCTTGCATCCTTGCAGTTGATGACGCTGCTTGAGATTTCTTTTGACATGGATCCTAAGAGCCATGTTTTAACCAGATTATTGCAGCGATTCCATTGCTGCAATCCTTCATGTTCATCTTCACTCGGCTTCTTGATAGTCCCATCAACAAGCCCTAATTTGTTCTTGATCGTTAAGGCCATGGTCATGGATTGAATCCATGTACTGTAATTGTCTTCCACCAATGGCTGCGACACAAGTACTGCACCAGGTTGATCTGAATGATGGAGATAAAGTGGGTGGTTAGGACTCTCCCACTTTAGATGTGAAGTCATGCTCGAGGAAGTTGACTTCGTGTCTGTGTTATCACCCATGGCTATGGTTTGCTAGGGTTGTTTTGGTGTTTGTGTGTTTGCTGTTTATTTTCCCAGATATCAATCACTCTGGTACCATCATAATAATCACATAATGGGATTATAATATTCTATTCATATTCAACAACTAGGTTTACAGCTTTATACAACCATTCGGTCAATGAGATCCTAAACTATTGCCTACAAGCAAGGCTTGATTAGAAACTAAATAGGAAAGGAAATAACTACAATATCAATTTACAATGTTGACTAAGTAATAGAGATATTTTCCTTAACAAAAAGCATTGGAAAGTAAGACAAACTGGTTGTCTTTTTCTGATTGTTGAGAAAGTCTTTGTTTGTCCTTTCTCCCTTGTCTCTCTCCTTCGCCCCCTTCCTATTCGCTTGATTCCTTCCATCTTTGATCGTCCTTCTACGTATGTCTGACTTTTACATTCAAAGATGTTGTCTGCACCCCCATATCCAAAATGCTGCTGCTAAACTTGTCCATGTCGAAACTAAAATATTGCCCGGCGCGGGGGCATTCTATGTTATATACCTGCCTATAGTTCTTGGAATATAAGATATATGCATATTTGGGAACGTTACATTAATTGTTGGTAGATTAAAAGGTCTCTACTTTTTTCAAGCCAATGATGGATAATAAACTTTGCTAGGTCAAACATTAGCAAGATATGAACAGGGGTTGCCCAATGGTTGAGAACAAATTCGAGGCCTGTATTTCACATGGCACGTTCTGGGTTTGATTCCTAATGTTGGTGAATCACACGGTGGTGGCCAGGAGAAGCTGAAATGCCCTTGTGGGTCTTCCTGAAAAGATGGATCATCGTGACGAAACAACCTACTGGTCCGCGAGGGTAGATGAGTTCTTATTAATAACGTCGAGTTTACATTATACAAAGGTTCAAACATAATCATCTGGTATTAGGTAATGATGGTCCTAATAGTTAGACTCCGTTTTAGCTTGAGGCTCGATCTGTCTACATGTCGCGTTGTGATTGACCTCCTGGTTGTGAGGACTCCTGGTTGAAGACTCTTGTGCTTTGGCAGAAGTGTCTTAACAAGAATCCTTCAATGCGTCTCTGAATGTATAAAATTGACTAGTGCTCGATAATTTTGGAATTAATGAAGTATGTTACAAACACAATTAAAAGCAAAATTAATAGCCAATTGTAATGATGCACTGTAAGACAAATTGGAAGGCTAGCTTAACATGTGAATCCAAAGGTTTTCGAACAGATTATAATAATAACCTATTCTGCAGGTGAATTTTCGGTTACAAGGGGAATCCGACATTTCCATCTCGTCCTTCCCAAACCACTTGAGCTAGGACTCGTACAGTGGTTTTATGCCACTTAGTCGTATAAAAAGAAAACTAGCATAACAATGAAGCAAATGAAATTTAACAACATCTTCATGAATACTGAAACATCATGTTCGCATCATTTTACTTGCGCTTCAGCACGGCAAGAAAGGTAATTGCAGTTTCAGTCCCTGACGCAATGATGGAGGATTGCTCTTCAAGTTTCTTGAGATACAAGTCAAAGAGCTCATCTAAGATTTCTTCTCCGAATTGCTGCTTGATCATTCCCTCAGAGCCAGCTCTCATGTGAGATACAACGAGTTGGATTGGAGAGACAGTGGAAGATACCAGAGTGCGAGGTATTGTTTCCAACTTGTCTAAACTAAAATGTTCATTTCTTTCTACAGCAGCTTCCAGTTTCTTTGATATACACAGGAATGTTAAATGTATCTACTTTCTCTTCACTTACTAATCCCTGCGCAAAGAAAATCCATGGAATCAAAATTTCTTATGTAATTGAACGGAAAGTGAGAAATAGAAATACCATTACTCACCTTCCTAGCCATGTCCATGAGACAAGACCCTATAAGTTGAAAGGACACGTTTACCAAAGAATTAGAATGAGGGAGAGTATTGGGCCGGCCTGGAATGACAAGAACCATCATTCCTCCGTCTGCAATCTCTTGTGCCCTGGCATTCAGAAAGCACTCCATGTCCTCAGCATGCTGTGCTTCGTAAGCCCTTGCCACTTCATCAGTGGAGTTTGAGTAATGGATTCGTCCTTTGTTCCATGCTGAACTGTTTTTGTCCACCACCTGTTTTGGTACTCTAGAAAGCCACTGAAGGGCAAAAGATGAATGAAAAAAATTAATAGAAGCATTAGGAAATAGGCGACTGTAGAAAGAACCAGGCACGCCCGCAGCTTAGTATCGCCTGGTCTGCGGGAGGGATTTGAAGAGCCTGTTAAAATCATTTAGAGTATGATCATTAAAGAAGACTTGAAATTCAGGGATCTGCAAATTCAGCCCTTGGCTCTGAAACTTGAATTCCACAGCTTCGAGTATGTTCTCAACCGCGATAAATGTGTTGGCCCGACAGAGCAACCCAAATCAGCAATGCAAAAGGTGTTAGAAGATAACAACACGTCTGTGTTGAGCTTTTCTGCAACTGCCTTGCTTAAGAGTTCCTTGGCAGCATCCACATATCCTTTCTGCAAGGATATACGAAATACAAAATCATTGTTCAAGTTACTGATAGTTCCTTAGTTTGTTCTGAATTTCGTATACAAAGAGATCAAGGACTTCGATAAAAGTGCGCATTACCAAATAATAAATTTTGAAATGAATTCATATAAACCTGAAAAGTTGAGTTGTTGGCATAGCTGTTGGGGCCATCCCCACCTTTCATTGGATATGCTTCGGAGAACTTACTGGTTTCCTCGACTGCAGCCATCTCTCTCTCTCTCTCTATGTTTCTCTGCTGTGTGTCATGTGTTGTATCATGAGGTTCATCATTCTTATATCTGCATTTGCGGTCGTTCCTACTCTACTACCTGACACTATCAAAAGACAATGTAAAATAATTAATTAGGAAACTTGAAAAGCATTGGAATGTAATACAAACTGGTGGTCTTTTCTGATTGTTGAGAAAGACTTTGTTTGTCCTTCTCCCTTGTCTCACTCCTTCGCCCCCTTCCTAGCTATTCGCTTGATTCCTTCCGTCTTTGATCGTCCTTCTCCATATGTCTGACATTTACATTCAAAGATGCTGGCTGCACTCCCATATACAAAATGCTGCTGCTAAACTTGTCCTTGTCGAAACTAAAAGATTGCCCAGCGCGGGGCTTTCTATGTTATATACCTGCCAATAGTTCTTGGATTATAAGATATATGTATATTTGGGAACGTTACATTAATTGTTGGTAAAGTAAAGGATCTCTACTTTTTTCCAAACCAATGATGCAGAAAGCTTTGGTAGGTCAAAGATTAGCAAGATATGAACAATCATGGGGTGGCCCACTGATTGGGAACAAATTTCAAGCTCGTATTCCACATAGCACGTTCTAGGTTTGATTAATGGTGCTGGTGAATCATATGATGATGGTCAGGAGAAGTTGAAATGTCTCTGTGAGTCTTCTCGGCCCCCAAAATGGTGGATTGCCGTGACAAAACCACTCGTTGGTCCACAAGGGTAGAGGTGTCTCATTTATAATGTAGAGTTTGCATTCTACAAAGGTTCAAGCATAGTCATTATTAATAAGTTCTAATAATGGTCTCTTTTTACAGTTGAGGACGCTTTCGTCCTCAGCCAATGTGGGACTCTAGGAGGTTTATTCTGATGTTGACACATGTAGCGTTGTGATTGGTCTCTTGGTTGGAAAGAAACTCTTGTGCTTCAACAGGGGGCCTCAACACGAATCTTTCAATGTGCCTTTGAAAGTATTGGTGCTGGATAGTTTCGGAATTAGTGAAGTATTGTACAAACACTATTAAAAGCAAAATTAATAGACAATTGTAATGATGCAGTGTAAGACAAATTGGAAGGCTAGCTTAATATGATACAATGCATTATATGTGAATTAAGGTTTTCAAACAGATTATAATAATAACACATTCTGCAGGCTAGAGAGTATCTCTCTCCTGCAGTGAATTTTCGGTTACAAGGGGAATCCAACATTTCCATCTCGTCTTCCCAAGCCACTTGAGCTAAGACTCGTACAGAGGTTTTATTCCACTTAGTCGTATAAAAAAGAAAACTAACATAACAATGAAGCAAATGAAATTTGACAACATCTTCATGAGTACTGAGACATCATGTTCGCATCATTTTACTTGCGCTTCAGCACGGCAAGAAAGATGATTGCAGTTTCAGTCCCTGACGCAATGATGGAGGGTTGCTCTTCAAGTTTCTTGAGATACAAGTCAAAGAGATCATTTAAGATTTCTTCTCCGAATTGCTGCTTGACGATTCCCTCAAAGCCAGCTCTCATGTGAGATACAACGAGTTGGATTGGAGAGACAGTGGGAGGAACCGGAGTGTGAGGTATTGTTTCCAACTTCTTTAAACTAAAATGTTTATTTCTTTCTACAGCAGCTTCCAGTTCTTGAGGAGTCATGGCATACACAGGAATGTTAAATGTATCTACTTTCTCTTCACTTACTAATCCCTGCGCAAAGGAAAAACACATGGACGTCATAAACAAAATTTCTTGTGTAATTGAACGCAAAGCGAGAAATAGAAATACCATTGCTCACCTTCCTAGCCATGTCCATGAGGCAAGACCCTATAAGTTGAAAGCTCACATTTCCCACAGAGTCAGAATGAGGGAGAGTATTGGGTCTGCCTGGAATGACGAGTACCATCATTCCTCCATCTGCAATCTCTTGTGCCCTGGCATTCAGAAAGCACTCCATGTCCTCAGCATGTTGAGCTTCGTAAGCCCTTACGACTTCATCAGTGGAGTTTGAGTAATGGATTCGTCTTTTGTTCCATGCTGGACTGTTTTTGTCCACCACCTCTTTTGGTACTCTAGAAAGCCACTGAAGGGCATAAGTTGAATAAAAAAAATGAATAGAAGCATTAGGAAATAAGCGACCGTAGAAAGAACCAGGCAAACCCGCAGCATAGTATCGCCTGGCCTGCGGGAGGGATTTGAAGAGCCTGTTAAAATCATTTTGAGTATGATCATTAAAGAAGACTTGAAATTCAGGGATCTGCGAATTCAGCCCATGGCTCTGAAACTTGAATTTCACAGCTTCGAGTAGGTTTTCAACCGCTATAAATGTGTTTGGCCCGACAGAGCAACCCAAATCAGCAATGTAAAAGGTGTTCGAAGATAACAAGACATTTACGTCGAGCTCTTCTGCAACTGCCTTGCTTAAAAGTTCTTTGGCAGCATCCACAGTTCCTTTCTGCAAGGACAATATACAAAATACAAAATCATTGTTTGAATTACCGACTGTTCCTTAGTTTGTCCCGAACTTCGCATACAAAGAGATCAAGGACTTCGATAAAAGTGAGCAAGACAAAATAAGAAATTTTGAAATGAATTCATATAAACCTGCAAAGTTGAGTTGTTGGCATAGCTGTTGGGGCCATCTCCACCTTTCATTGGATGCTCTTCGGAGAACTTACTTGTTTCCTCGACTGCAGCCATCTCTCTCTTTCTCTATGTTTCTCTGTTGTGTATGTCATGTATTGTATCATGGGGGGTCATTATTCTTGTATCTGCATTTCGGCCGTTCCTACTCTACTACCTGACGCTATCAAAAGAAGAAGTAAAACAATTAAAATTTAGAAAACGTGAAAAGGATTGGAAAGTATGACAAACTGGTTGTCTTTTTCTGATTGTTGAGAAAGTCTTTGTTTGTCCTTCTCCCTTGTCTCCTTCCTTCGCCCCCTTCCTATTCGCTTGATTCCTTCCATCTTTGATCGTCCTTCTACGTGTGTCTGACTTTTACATTCAAAGACGTTGTCTGCATTCCCATACCCAAAATGCTGCTGCTAAACTTCTCCGTGTCGAAACTAAAAGATTGCCCAGCGACGGGGCTTTCTATGTTATATAGCTGCCTATAGTTGTTGGATTATAAGGTATATGTATATTTGGGAACGTTACATTAATTGTTGGTGGATTGAAAGGTCTCTATCTTCTTCAAACCAATGATGCAGAAAACTTTGGTAGATCAAAGATTAGCAAGATATGGGTTCTCCAATCATTTCTATGGAAATGACACCACCAAATACACATAACACGAGGAGGAATACTTAAAAAGAAAAGTAAGGCTTATGATGGCCTTGTTTTTGCTTCAAACTTCAAAGGACAAATTAAACATATTAAGGTCCGTTTGGTAACCATGTCAAATTCTGCTTTTTTTTTAAATAAAAAACTGAAATCGAAATTGTTATTAGACGTTTCCGAATATTTATGTATAAATGCTGATAAATTTTGACCAAATTTTTTTCGTGATCTTTGTGGTGATACTCTACTTTTAAATAAACCCTTGTGGTGAAAAAGTTAGTAATTGTAATCCTGTGGTGAAATTCGTTATCAATCATAGTCCAAATTAGATTTTTCCTCATTCTTCTGTCATTTGTAGGGGTAAATTTGTTATTTTCGTTTTTATTGATTCTATGAACCAATCATAAAGTGCCATATGAACATAATTTATTTTTTTTAACTTTTAGAACTACAATAAAAGAATAAATAAACATTAAAATTACAAGGTTCATATTACCAAACTTTCTCATTTCAAGAGAGCCAAGAGTCGAAATTCAAGGTTTAAAAAATCATAAAGTACCTCACCACGTTTATGTTAGAATATAAGTTAGTATGCAAACATTGAATTTAGTTTTATTTTAAGAAGAACAGTGGTGGACGGGATGGCTAAGGTTATGTGAGAGAAGGGGGGGGGAGGTGGTGGGCGGTCATCGTGGCTGTGGCTGACAAGGGTAGGGATTGCGGAGGAATTTTTTTTTCCCTTCTATTTTTGTTGATTATAAAAATAAAAAAAAAAAGTGGAATTACCATAAAGAAAAGAAAAAAGAATGGAATGACTTTTTTCCCCTGCATGTGGATGAGATTTTAACAAAAATTTCAATTTGGATTACAATTGATATCGAACTTCACCACAGTGTTAAGATTAACATTTTTTTCATCACATGGGTCGATTTAAAAGTAGTGTCTCACCACAAGGATCAAGAAAAAAAATTGGCCATAAATTTTTACCTAAGAATATGACAGAACTAATGATATACAGTTTGCTAGAAGCAGCTGGTAATTAGGGTTGAACTTAAGGAAGTAATTAAAATGTACAGCGGCTGAGGAGAGTTGTTGGAGAAGCTGTATTCTCCATCCCGGCGATCATTGCATGGACTTCAGACGAACGATGTCCAAACGTCCTACGTAATATGCTTATCTTTTTAATTATATATATATATTGGAAACTTTATTCTAATTCTTGACAAAGATGTCTTTTAAAATAAAACTATGAGTAAGATCAAAACCTAATTTTAGTCCCTTGATACATTAATCACCTCATTTATGTATCAAGGGTTTCTTCCTAATTTCAATGAATTAATTATATTTCCTTATAATTTTCATTTTCATTTCATTCATCATAATATATTTTGTTGTAAACATTTAGATAAACTAATTTTTGTTATACAATATATTTCAATATACTTTGTCTTTCTCATTTAGGTACATTGATTCATTTAATATATTTTGGTATATCAAATTCGGTACACACATTTAGGTACATTAATTCAATATAATACATTTCAATACATACATTTTGCTACGTACATTTCGGTACAATATTTCAAGATGATACATTTCAGTACAAATATTTCGGTACCAATATTTAAGTACATTAATTGGATCTTTCAAGTTTGTAGAATATTAAATAAAATTAATAAATTAAAAAACGGTTTTTTGGTCAAAAAATAAATTAAAATGTGTAAATTAAAAAAATTCAAATATTTTTGATGAGTGACATTGAATAAAATACACATTAAATAATTTGAATTAAAGACACATAAAAGAACTATAATCAATAAGTAATCTAATACTAAATTTTTATTAAATTTCAAACTTTTTCTTAGATTAAAGTTAAAGGGACAAGGATTGTCTGCCCTCCTAATTGTGGTACCCTTCCATGCCCTCCTATTTTGTGCGGTCACGGTTAAGCCATGTCAATATTTTATATTAATTTTTTAATGAGATAATAAGATAAAAAACAATAAAAATATAAAATATTGACGTGGCTTAACCATAGACCGCACAAAATAGGAGGGCATGGAAGGTGACACACCCCGTCCCGAAGGAGGGCATGCTGGCCGTCACGTGAGAGTGACGTAACCATTTGCACAGTACGGAAGCTTTAAGATACAATTTAAATTGATACACCCGAAGGTGAGTCCTAATTTTGTCCAATCTGTCAGAACACCGTCGAATTCCTCGTAGTCACCACACCTTTGTGATTCCTGAACCTGGAGGGGCGCAAAACCAAAATTGAGTGGGTCAGTAAAACAATTCTTTTCCAAATCCAAACATTTCTCAAAACGTTGTAACCCCTCTCCGTAAAACCTGTATACTTTCCCAGAAATGTAAAATATAAATATACATATATATTCTCAAAACTTCATTTTTACTATCTCAACATTATCTCTTTATCAATCATGCCATGCCATGTCATCTCAACATTTCTCATATTAATTATGCCATGCCACATCATCTCAACAGTAATAAGGTATGAATGCATCAACATAATCATATCAGGTGCAAGAAAGTAATCAACCGTAGGCCCTCTAATAGCCCTATACGGTTGAACCTAGAGCTCAAAATCTATCATTATCACTCTACCGGAGTCACCTCTGTGACCCGTCCGGCCTTCTGCACACAAGTTACGCTCTAGTGCTTCTCATAAATCATCTGTGCACATAATCTAAGGTCACCCACCAGTCGGAATCTCACTAACACTCTCGCGACTGGTCTGTCGTACCCACTCCGCGTGGACTGTACGACTAGCATCTACTTGGATCCAAGGCGAGCGTGCGATGCGGTGAATACTATAAGCACTAAAACCATGGTGCAGGATTTGAGCTCAATATATATCATCATCATCATAACAGTAATTAAATACTCATCTGTGCGTCCACCGCACCATTTCATACATATGCATCATAAATCAATTCTTACCTGTGCGTCCACCGCACCAATTCATACATATGCATCATAAATCAATTCTTACCTGTGCGTCCACCGCACCAATTCATACATATGCATCATATATTAATTCATGCATGGCATTTCAACTCACATTTCTATATACTTTTCATATCAATTCTATGCATGGTATTTCACTTCCCGTTTTTCCACATAACTCATATGCATTTCATTTTAAACATATTTTCATGCATTTTCAATTTCTGGGAAAACGTTAAGTATATATATATATATACGGAAAACAAAACTGCCCACTCACCTGGAGTTCATCCAACAACTCCCTAGCACCACACATCAAGGCGTCACGACGATCGCCGCCTAGAATAGTAATCAAATCCAACCTCAGAATTCATATCGATAGAATATTTAACTTATATAAAATACGTCACTACGTAGTTCGATCCGGAAGATCTGCCACTCAGATTTTAAATCCATAACTTCCAGAGGTCCACAATATATCTCTAGGACAACATCCTAAAATTTCATTACCATCCAACGGTCGGATCTCCGTCAATTTCCAAAACTAAGTGACGGTTAACATTTTATATTATGGACTTACAATTCCAATTCCGGAAGATCCGTAACTCGGATTCCCAATCCATAAGTTCCAATAATCCTCAAATATTACGTACTATAACGTATCAAAGTTTGGTGATGATCCAACGGTCGGATCATCAATTCACATTTTCACCTAAATGTGAAAACTATAAAACGTTATTTGAACACCTAACCAACAATCTTCAATAACTTTCTCATACGGTGTTCAATTTAGGTATATGAATATACCACAGTGATCTACTCGACGTCACGGACGTCGACATATTTTTAAAATAATTTTATTTTTATTTTTTATTTTTACTGTAGCACCTTCTTCTTCCTTGGGTCGCCGGACTGGTTTTTCCGGCGGCCGTTTTCTGAACAGTTTTTCAAATTGCCATAACTTTGTCATTTCTCAACGAAATCAAGTGATTCAAAAACGAAAGTTGTAGCCCTTGAAGAGACAAAGAGAATGGTACCTTGCACAACACCTAGTTCGCCGTGGTTTGGCCGGAAACTGCCTCGAAAGCCTCGGAGGTCGCCGGAAACTGGGTATTTTTCAAATGAGTATAACTTCTTCAATACTCAACGAAATTGAGTGAAACAAAAAGGAAAGTTGTAGTACTTGACGAGACGAAGAGATTGATACCTACCTCGACTCCTAACTCGCCGGGGATTCGCCGGAAAAAGCCTCGAAAGCTCCGGCCAAATTTTGAACTTGTCGATCTCCGTGTTCTTACGTCCAAAAACTTCCAACGAAGCACTCCGAGCTTCCTTGGGACCTCACTAAGCTCACTATGAGCTTGGATTGTCCTAAAAATCAACCAATTCAAAGCTCATGAACAGTACACTTTCATGGGGAGTTTAGAATCTAGGTTTTCCGAAGTAAAACTTACCTGAAATGGATACCAACGTGATCGTGAAGTCCTCAGGATTCCAATGGTGGTCTCAAACTTGACGTTGGTATAGATTTAGGGTGGTTTTGGTGGTGGTCCGTGTGAGTTCGAAGGAGAGAGAGACAGAGAGAGTGAGAAATCGTGAAGGAGGAGAGAGAAAGACAGTGAACGGGAAATGAGGAGGGTTTTGAGGGATGTGGGGATCCCACGTGGTCCTTATTCCAATCTCCAAACACCAAACTTTAACATTTTAACCTAAAAATCTAAGTTCCATCCTTATTAAATTCCATTTTATTTTTCAAACTTAGGAACCTAGATAATTAGCAACCTGAGCTTCACAAATTTAGTATTTCTTAAGGGCAATTTCGTCCATTCACAGCCACGAATATAATAATTTGGAACGGGCTGTGACAATCTTCCCTCCTTATAGAATTTCGTCCCCGAAATTCCAGCAACCAACCAATTCATCAACACTTATACCAACCTCGGTAAGTTTCTTTCATCCGATTCTTTTTCTCCCACGTAATTTTCTTCCACTGAATGATTCCTTCACAAAACTTTTACCATTTACTCTATCTTAACTCTCAGGACCTTCTTTTTCCAATCCAAATTCTACTTTTCTAAG